GCCCTCATCGCTTGGTCTTCTGCGGCTCGTCATTTGTTTAGGGTACCTACAATGAAACATGTCAGCATTTAACTATATGAAACATGTCATGATGGTAATGAAAACTTGCAACATAAGCGCTGTAAACCAAAAGCAAACTTTTGCCCCATACAAACTTTTCAAACAAAAAAATTCACACAATGCAAAAAAATAAACCTTAGTAGATTACGGTTACAAAACCTACAACAAACCTACAAAAAATTCACACAATGCAAAAAAATAAACCTTAGTAAATTCACACAATTCACAAATTCGGACAACAAACAAATACAAAAAATTCCTAAACCTAAAACACAATGCAAGTTAAGAAACCTTACCTATCCTTCAGATTTCACGATTTGGACCAAATTTGGGGGCAATCCACACGCCTAAAGGAAGGGTTTGGACCGTTCTTCAGCTGCTCCTGCGGATTTGGGGTTTGGGCCGTCTCCTTAGTCGATTAGGTCATCCTACTCCCCCTCTGCCGAATGAGGGGTTTTTAAAAAACAAATCCGTCGATATTTAGTCGACTAAATATCGATACTTAGTCGACTAAATATCCCAAAAATGTAGTCGATTAAGATGATTTTTTAGTCGACTAAATTTGCGGTAGTCCACTTTCTGAAGATTGACCATTTGCTCGACTAAGACAGCAAGGTAGTCGACTAAACGGGGGCAGGTTGGTGGATAGTTCTTGATCAGGGGCAAATTGGTTATTAATTAATTAATGAGGGGCAAAAGGGTCAAAAAACCTCACGTTTTCTGCTAGAGATTTTTATAAGCATATATTTTTTCATATATCAGAGTTATATAGTTTGCAAAGGCGTATATCCTGCTTGATCTTGTCTAAGAAATTTATTCCTTAACTCAAGAAACTCAGTTTCTTGACCATATATATATATATATATATATATATATATATATATATATATATATTACCTTCTATGAGAAATTTTATAAACTTTTTAATTAGACAAACATGTGGATATCTTCAAAAGGATTCCATAAAAAAAATTGCAATTCCTAACATATTATTACTTAAAATTTGACATCTCAATACAAGTAAGGACAATCACATTATTATAGTAAATCTTGAAAAATATAAATTATACGAATCTTACGGTATGAGATTTATCTACAAAATTTATTGTGATAATTTGGATAAAAAAAATTAAGACAAAATATATCAATATAATGAATATGTAGAAATATAAATCAACAATTATATATATATATATATATATATATATATATATATATATATATATATATATATATGACGTTATTCATGTATATGTTACTTACACATATACAATAATTATAAATTGTAAAATTCTAAATTTGCTTAAATTAAATTAGAATTCTCAATTGATGTAGCTCAGTTGGCAACACATGCTAAGTAGAGTTGGTAGAGAACCTGAATTCAATTCCCACCACACACATCTTTGAGGAGGGATGATGAACTTTAACTGAGATTAAACCCTAACAAGAGATTAGTATTATAACTAACTCAAAAAGTTGAAGCTTGTGGAGATACTCACAGAGTCGACTTACCTTAAAGAGGTATAAACTACTGAAATATAAATTAGAATATATATACATAAATATATAATTATAAAATGTAACAACATAAATTGCAAAAAAATAAATTACTGAATTATAAATCAGTGAATATATATTTTTGTATATTATTATGAAGTGTGGAAATATAAATTTTAGAAATGTAAAATTTGTTGAAATATAAATTGTTATAATAAATAACATAAAAGAAATTGAAACGCGTTATTCCATCAGCATTGGATAGGGAAACAAGAGGAAGAATAAAATAAAATAACAAAATAATATTTAAATGATACTTATATTTAAAAGAAAGAAAAAGGTTATCCATGTTGTTGAGATATTCAAGTGTGACGAGTCGGTTGAGACATAGTGTCGGATCCACTTGGTGTACTTGGAGTAACTTAGTTCATTGGTGGTGGCCCCCCGCCACGGGCTTTTCCTGGACCCGCCTGACAGTGGTATCAGAGCCGGGTTAGGCTCGAGCTAGCCTGGTGATTAGCTAGGAGGCGAATCGAGTACTTTGCTCTTGGGGTACTCGGTTGAGGGGGAGCATACCAATGGTGGGTTTCACATTTGAGGGGGAGATTGTTAGGATATTCAAGGGTGATGAGTCCCACATTGGTTGGTAATTGGCTAAGTGAAGAGTATATAAGTGGAAGGAACCCATGAACCCAATGCCTTAAGGTTTTGGGTTGAGACATGGTGTCGGATCCACTTGGTGTACTTGGAGTAACTTAGCTCATTGGTTGTGGCCCCCGCCACGGGCTTCCCCTTCGACCCGTCTGAAATTGGTATCAGAGCCGGGTTGGGCTCGAGCTAGCCTGGTGATTGGCTAGGAGGCGGGTCGAGTACTTTGTGCTCGGGGTACTCGGTTGAGGGGGAGCATACCAATGGTGGGTTTCACACTTGGGGGGGAGATTGTTGGAATATTCAAGGGTGATGAGTCCCGCATTGGTTGGTAATGAGCTAAGTGAAGAGTATATAAGTGGAAGGGACCCATGAACCCAATGCCTTAAGGTTTTGGGTTGAGACGTGGTGTCAGACCCACTTGATGTACTCGGTGTAGCTTAGCTCATTGGTGGTGGCCCCCGCCACGGGCTTTCCCCTTGACCCGCCTGACACCTGTCCTTAATCTTTAATTTTATATTTCTTTATTGTCAAATTTCTTTCACTCTACAATTTTTTTTCCTCTCCGTGAGTTTTCTCTGAAATCTCTCTTTTAAGTGAATGATCATCAAGTTAATGTAGTTACGTTACAATAATAATCATAACTTAAAGTATGTAGAGTTTGCAGTACAAATATACATAAAAATTTTAAAACAATAACCCAATACCTCCGAGGTAGCTTAGTTGGCAACTGAGCTTTCAAGGATATACTTGAGTCAGAAGTTGAAACTCGTTGTTCCAATGAGGGGGTTCGAGAATCTCATTTTGGGGTAGATCATATTAAAAAAGCGGCAAGATTCTTTTAACACTAAATCTTAACCGTTAATTTCTGCAAATTTAATGATTATAATTTATTATATCACACTTATTAATTAATTTATTAATTCTCAATAAAATATAACTGTTAGATTGACCGTGTCAAAGAATCATGTTGTATTAAAAAATTATAAGTACATTTGTTTTTCTCACAAAAATTATACATGTAAATCATTAATTTGAGTATTTATTATAAGTAATGTACTTTACTTAAAAATTTCACATAATATTTTCTCAAAGTCCAACTATGACAATAAATGAGAAATCTAGATAGACAACAATAGATGAAGAAAAGCATATCAGTGAAGAGGATGAGAAAAAAGATGCAAAGGATAAGAAACAAACAAAAAGAACAAAACAAATGGTCAGGAGGCATAGCCTTAAATAGAGAACGACAACTATATACAAAGTAAAACTAAAGCTTCACCACTAAGAAATCTAAAGTGAAAATTAGCAGCTCCACGTCTAAAAGAATCTTAATAGTGAAGCAACATATGTACGACTATGTAAATATTCTCCATCATGCTCAAATTAAGGTAATATATAAACAGAAATTTTGTATCCATAACTAATGTGCATTTACATGATGTTTGTGAGGTTCTTTCTTCCCGTTTAATTTATTTTCATTAAATAAATAATTTAATTTTTGATACATTATTAGTTTGAAAAACTTCTACACCACCATCATAATGATGTTTTAATATAATGTAATAATTAAAATTATTAAATGATATGTCAATACTGTTCTGGATGGCCTATACCTTAAAAAGGCCTAGTGATGCAGGCCCAAACCCCCCTCACCACACTCACGTCAGCCCTACTGACCAGTCACCACCAACCCTCCTTCCTTTCTGTCCCCTAGGCGACAGCATCCCCAAGGTGAGACACCAAAATATCTCATCTTGGGATACCAACCCTGCTGGAGGTTTGCCCAGACTCCTTAAATAGGAACTTCCCTTCTATATAGGTGGCAACATTGACTGCCACCTCCCCCCTCAAAGAGAGTTGACTCAGCTCACCTACCCACACGTGGTAGGCATCTTCCACTCCCATAAATACCCCTCCATTACCAGGCAATGAGGTATCTTATGTATCGTTATTCTACTAGTCATTATAAGACCTAGTAATATCACACACACACACACACCCCTTCAACTTATAATCTAGATTCATGCTTGGGACAGTGCTGGCTAACTTGGTCTTTACATGTACTAGTAGTATTACCCATACAGTGATCCTTATCTCCAAAAGAAACATATTGGGCTTATAGAACCCAACGGTACAAATACCATATTAGATTATATTTGTTACAGGAAAGATTCTATTACGTGTCGAGTGAAAGAGTAAAAGTGGTCTAAGTATAACCATTAAAAATCATCAATAAGAATTTCAAGTATTATTGCATCAATTATAAAGCCATCTATGCAGAGTTATAAATATAAAAAGTTTGCAGATCATAACATTGTTCAAAATGCTTTCTTTATGTTAATATCTCTTCTTTTGTTTATGTACTGTATTAATGTCTTACCATTATCATAGTCTATCGCAAGTCAACCTCAGAATAGGTTAATTAAATGTATATTTATTTATTTAAAAAATTGATTGAAAGGAAGATTAGTGACTAGAAATGAGCTAAGCTAATCATCTATGCACGTTTCTTTTTGGTAGCAGCACATATGAGTTTATCAGAAATTAAGCTTTACATTTTTTTAGTATATAATCAATCAACCTTACAAGTAGAACAAAATTCTCAGCTAAAATTCATGGGAAGTCTTAAGCAATACTATTTGTGTACATGTTCTGTTTTGGGGTGGTGTCTCCTTCTGGAGTGCAACATACATAAAGTAGCCATGTTTTGTTCTGAAGTTTACTCTTTTTCAGTAGAGCTACAGCATACAATCTGAAGAAAAAAGTTCACATCTGTCATAATTAATGGACTTTAGCTTACAGTTCTTATATACAATAAGGACTACCATAAGATAAAAACATTAGCAGCCCAACCAAATTATAAACTGGTGATGTCGTATGAAAAGTTTCTTAAGGTATTTGATACATTCATTTTAATCTACAATGTTGATCTTTCAAAGTCTAAAATCTAAAACCAATATTTATTGAGGGAGCTATCCCTTGTGCTGCAATTCACAGTCACACACAGTGGTTATGTAAAACTTGGGCTTAAAAGTTAAAACAAACACATGAAACTGAATCATTTTGCAGATCTTCTTCTTTCAGGGACAAGGAAGTATCATTAGCAATGGCATGAGTTATCTTTTCATTTACTTCCTTCCCTTCACATACAATTCTCACCTTGCAACTTTGTGGTGCATTCTGAAGTATCTGATCAGCTATGCCATTCCCTTTCCCTGATCTTAATTTTCTGTGCAACCAAAATGCAAGTGGTTCAAATATGAAAAAGCTTATGTATGCCTAAACTGAAGTTATACTAGGATGCATTAGTAGTAGGGCATTCTACCTTAATTGGGATTTGTTGGCTCCAATCACTAGTTTTCTTATTTGAAGTATGGGAATCAGGTCGATGATAGCCTTAGCAATCAAATCACTCTCAATCAGGATGGTGTCCACCTGAACCTGTTTGATATTTTTGTTACTTGATCTCTTGGTTTTGGTTGAAATTGGAAAAAAAAAGGTTTGAAGTACTCCCATTGTAATCATATAGAATGAGTGAGTACCTTGGAATTAGAGCATGATTGGAGGAACTTGTGAAGGAGCTCTCTCCTCTTACCTCTTTCTTGGGCCATATAGCTCTCCACCTGTTCAGGACTCACTTGGTCCTTTGGAACCATTCCCACTCCCACTGTCATCACAGAATCACATTGGCAAGACACATTCACAAACCAACAGATGCATATAGAGAGATTGGTTAATAATTACAAATCTAATTTGAATTTCAACTTGAGGATATTAATATTTGCATTTAGAAAGGACAACCCTGAATCTGAAAAATTCAACATATGGGTTTTGACTATTTGTCCTTAAAATTCACATTTTGTTGTTTATTTATTGCATTATTAGGTCTGGCCTGATCTTTGTTGTTGGGACTTAGAGCACTCCCTCCTCAGCAACCATTTGTTGACTTTTGGATCATTTCAAGCCCTCAAAATTTATTAAAGGAAGAAAACCAAATGCTCAAGAAAATAAAAGTAAGTAAACTTGGTAACCTAATCAAACTTTCAACAATTTTCTACATCCCCTAATCCTTAGAGTCAATAAAGATAATGTTTTTTCTGGTCTTAAAAATAACTTGGTGATTAAGATCTCAACATCGCACCCATGAACCATCATCTATCATTGAGACAGAGAAAGAAAAGAGTGAAGGAAAATTTATAATCTAAAAATAAATAAATACAATAAAATAAAATAAAATAAAAAGAAAGATGGGAAAATAGGAAAATAACTTACATGGATTTGGAATGTGCTTGATCTCTGGGAATACATGTATGAGATAGACCATGGTAGATGGAGTAGCCAAGTTTTTTAGTGTCCATGAGAGGGCTTCCATGCTAGTTTCACTCTTACCAACTGCTACATAAACAGTGTCTTCTTCACCTTCGTTGTCTTCATTAATAGTCCCCATAGAAGGACCATCATGTAAGTATAACTGTGACTGTGAAGAGTTCTCTTCCTCTATCTCACTCACGCTTGTGCTGCCATACCTGTAGTTTTCCATGGACACACCTTCATATGAATGGTGCAAGCACTGCAAGGTCTCAGTTAACGTTGCTGTCATTTATTTATATCATTGAATAAGTTTGTTCTTGGTTTTAATGAAAAGGGCAACTATATATATTTGGTTGTAGAAGACAGAGAAAGGAACTTGTTATGTCAGGTTTTTTAGCTGAGAATAGAGGAGAGAGAGAAAGAGTGGGGGGCTATCTATGCATTTGTGTTGAAGTAAGTTGTGTTATCGAGGGAACAAATTTGGGGATGGTAACTAAAAACCATGTGGATTGAGGATGAGGAAATTCAGAGATTGGATATGAACTTTGACTTTAATTTTTGTATTGAGGAAAAAACGGACCAAAAGTGTTACATAAGATATTTTAGAATTTAGATGTTCAAGGTATGCTGGGCCTGTTCTTGCTTTTTTTGAAAAAACCCAAAACTTATTATTATAATATGATGATGTCAAATCAGACACAGTATTTTGTGTTTAACTAAAACCAGAGTTTTAAAATCCGAACCGGTCTAGTCAATACTGATTTTAGTAATCCGGTGAATTAATTTTACGTTACATTTTATAAGCAATGGGATTCGAATTTGAGTTTCCTTATTTAATAATAAGAAGCATTGTTGTCAAAAATTAATATAAAAACATAAAGATTTATGTTTTTATATTTTTATTAGAGTGGTGTGTGTTAAAATACAAGTAAAAATAATCTTTGATAAAAACTAGTAAAAAAGTCACATAAAAACGGTAAAAACTTACGTTTTGACCTTTTTTACTTAAAATGAAAAAAAATTTAAAAAAAGATTTACAAAAAAAAAAAACTAAAACCAATTTTTCGTTTTCTCCAAATCATATGCTATATTGATATCTTTTTATTTGGATATATGTCTTTTATAATTATATCTTATAAAGCTACAATTTTATTATAAGTTATGCTACGAGAATCATTTTGTGTTTTTGAATTATTGTGTGCATTAAAATAAGTGGAATTTTATCCTGATGAGCGATAATCCAAAATCTACAGAGTGTATGAAGCAGTTAGAGCAGATTGGTTATTTATTACTTGTTAGTTATCACTATTTATAATTTTGATACTTGGTTATCAAAAATAATTTTCTTTTAGATAGCTAAATTATGTCTCAACACACAAGTTCATTATGTGATTTTTTTTTTTTACATGTATATATATAATTTTGTATCTTGACCTTAAGTAGTAGAAAGTAGAAACCTTATGTTTCGTGTCGTTTCTACGTTTTACGTTTCTACCACCCCTTTCCGTTATTACGTAGAAACTCGAGTTTGACAACATTGATAAGAAGACTTATCACTAGATCATTATTTTTATTTGTTGGACATGTTATTCATAACTTTTTTAAATCCAAAATCGATGATCGGGTCGAGTTTTAAAACACTAATTAAAATTGACAATTTTTTAAACCGTTAAAAAGTTATTTTAAAAGATGATAATTGCAATAAAATATTATTAATTTTTGTATACTTTTGTTTACATATTTTTTTAGTCTAAAAACCTAGTGAAGTAATCAAATATGTTTTTATGAGAGAATAATGACACTTTTAGTTGTACTTATGAGTTTATTTATTTTGTGAATGGTGATTATTTTATGAGAGATGAACACCCTAGTTACATCATCACATGGTAGGAAAGAGAGTTCTGCATAAATAGACACAATCTCATAGAAACCAAGACGAAGAGGAGGCTAAAACTATGATTAGCAAGTTACTCTGTACGCTAAATATTTAAAGAAAATAAACCTTTCAATACATAAAAAATAACCATCATGACAATCTCAAAACGCACTATTTTAAAGTGTGCAACTCCAATAATTACATCAACATTGCATCAACCAGGATATTTAAGGGAAACAAATATAGAAATTTTTTAGTTGAATATAAAATCCCTTCGTCGTAGTCAATAATTGAAACTGCGGCCGATCGTCGCTGACCAAGTTTTCAAAAGTCAAATGTAATAAAAAAAAAAATGTTCCAACCAAGGGCCCTCTCCTTTTGACCAAGTCTTATATAAATGCAATTCCACTCTTACACTCTATGTGCATTCTCACACAATTCTCAACACAGCATTTACAAGAAATCCAGTAGCGTGCAAGACAATACAATACATGCAAAAAGCTCACGACGAAGGTCTTATCTTGGTGTTGGGAAGCATGCTAAGAAAATGTGAAGTAGAATTTGTAATTTACTTGAGAAGTGTGTAACTTATTACAGTAGTGTTTAAATTGAAAAATATACATAGTCCTTATTTTATTAATTTTATGTTAAAGAAGATAAATTATCTCATGTCATAGAGACAAATTTGTGGGCTCCACTATTTGAAAAAAAAAATGTGTCACAATTATCGAAGAGTGTGTAGGAGAGAAAGTTATCACATGTAGCATAAGAGTAATTTTTCCCTTAAAATAATACTTTTCACAAAATTATTTTATATTATTCACATCTCTAAATTTATATAGTTTCGCTTTTAAACTTTTTGTTACACAAGTTTACTGAAGTTTAATAGCTCTACATTTTTTTTTTGGGTCTCTAAAAATATCAACACTTCACATATATCATTATGCAAATTCAATTAACAGGTTTTGAATTTTTGTTTGATTCTTTTTAGCGAGGCACTCGCATATCCTTTGAGGCTGAGACTAATTTTTTCATTATTATTGTTTTTGATACTAATTAAGACTGTCCTTCCACGCAAAATATTTTTTGAGAATATTTAAAATTGAATATGTGTTACTCATAAGAGCTGAGTATAAAGCTATAACCAAGTTATATTAATTAATAAGGGAAAAAATATTTATTATTTTAAAAGATATAATTTTGTGTTATTTTAAATGAAACGATTATATTTTAGTGCATATTTAATAATTTTTTCATATTCTCTCTCATTCTTAATACTTTCTGTTTTTTCTCTCCTCCAAATTTTATGGATGAGAGAAAATATAAAAAAAAAAAGAGTAAATACCTTTTTTGGTCCCTAACAAAAAATATGGTCCCCACTTTAGTCTCTTACAAAAAAAAAAAAATTAGTTAGTTGGTCTCTAACAAATTCAAAGTAGACCCATTTAGTTGAAATCGTGGTCCCTCACAATTTCAAAAAAGACCCATATTAGTCCCTCAAAAGGACTAAAATGGGTCCACTTTGAATTTGTTAGGGACCAACTCACTAATTTTTTTTGTAAGGGACTAAAGTGGGGACCATGTTTTTTGTTAGGGATCCCAAAGGATATTTACTCAAAAAAAAATTATATATACACAAAAATACAGTCATTTCTCTTAAAATGACACAAAGTTTTTTCCAAAAAAATAAATGATACAAAATTATGTTCTTTAAAATGATAAATATTTTTTTACTTTTAAATTACTATAACTTTGAGAGATAAAGAGAGCATTATGAATGAAAGAGAATATAAAAAACACTAAAAATACACCAAAACACAATTATTTCATTTAAATGACACAAAGTTTATTCTTTACAATGAAATTTTTTTCCCATTAACAAGTATATAAGAAAAGCTGTTATGACCTAAGGGGGCGTTTGATATGAGAGATATTTTCTTTTACTGGGAAGAAACGCTTTCTGAAAATACGGAGGGGAAATTTTTTGGGGTAAGTTACAAAAAGATGTTTTGGTAGGACAAAATTTTATCGGGGATATTAAGTTAATTTTACAAATGCTATATTTGGTTATTTGTAAAATATTGATGGGAATCTTGACCTAAATGACAAAATTACCCTTATATTTGAATTTTGAAATGAAAAAATTGACATCAAAAAATTTGACACTGCTGTCCCTTATCTCTAGTAAGTTATTATTATTATTATTATTATTATTATTATTTTATTCCATAATGCAAAAACCTGACAACATCAATTGAGCTGAGTGGGTCGAAGACGAAGACAATGATTGTGTGGTCATTTTCGTCTCCAAATTTTAGTACAAGAATCCGAGATGTGGGGAAAAATAAAAACTACGGGGGAATGGCTTTATTTTTTAACAATGAGTAGTTAGAAATTAAAATGATGGAGAAATTTTTCCCCAGAATTGTTTTAACAAAAGCTCATAACAAACATGGAAATAAAATTTCTCAGCTCCACTTTCCCAGCATTTTCCCAAAAGGGGTGCTTGGTTCAGGGGATTTTTTTTGACTAAGAAAATGTAAATACGAGGAAAAATGTTGGAAAGTAAATTTAGTAGGAAAGTTTAAAAAAAGTTGTTTGATACTGTAAAATATTAGTAGGGAAATTGGATTAAATATGCTGAGTGTATGTTTGGTTGAAAATAAAAATTTGATGGGAAAATGGATGGAATTTACGAAAGTAACCTTTTTTATAAAATTTTGAACCATTACAACATATAAAAAGAGGGGTATTAATATCACCGTATTCACCCGCTCTTTCCATTTCTCCGGTTTTGACCGAAATACTTTGTCTCAAAGTGTATTCGTCAACAGTGTTTTTGTCCATTTTTAACATGCATTTCTAATTAGATAAGCAAGTGTGTTTGATGGATAAAAGTAATGAAATTCTTCAACTTAATGAGAAAAATAGAGATTGCCACATCCACTTAGATGGAAAATTTTTGAGAACCCCTTAACCAAACACCTCCTTAAGTGATTGGGGTGAGATTCCTGATCTTGTTTGAATCTGGCCATTGAGCAAGAGTTGTGAATATTGTTCTATGAACTTACTTGTAGCCATAAATTTAGTGCTAAGTACTATACAAGGGTAGTTTCTTTAACATTCATATATATAGGCTCCAATCCATCGTATACAGCCATAAATTTAGAAGCTACTTGTGGCAGAAAGTATGGAAAAGGGGACTGTTCGGCCGCTAGGTAACAGTTCTTACCTTAAATTTTAAGAGGAGAGTGTTTGTCATTTTAAATAATATAAAGTTATGTTATTTTAAGAGAGAGATAGATATAAAATAATTTTCTTATTTAAAATTTAAATTGGAAAAAACTATCCATTTTCTCTCTCCCATGATTTTTATTTTTTGTATATATCTCTCTGCTAAAATGATATAACTTATGTCATTTAAAATATCAAACACCAAACCCAAATTTTAATATCATAGCTGACGCATGCACAAGTTACTATTAAATAATTCGACAAATCGGATACCAAAAAAAAATAATTCGACAAATTTATCAAACATAATAATTTAATTAACACATAATATTTCAATAAAATATATGTTAGATTTATCAGATCTATAATTAATACTATTTATACAAATAATGGAACAATCCTAA